CTGCCGTTACGGCTGCTAATGGATGCCCGACGCTGCTGCTGCTGCCATGTGCAGGCGTCGAAAGGAGACATTGAATGTTGAGACACTGCAGCGGCGGCACGGCACTGTAGCTGCTGCTGCTGCTGCGCATGTAACCGCAACAGCAGCGACAGCCATAGCAGTAACAGGTTGACGAGCAGCACGCAGCCGCAGCGGGCGCGCGGGTACATCTGTACAGCAATTGCTGCATTGAGCACGATGGAAGGGTTGTCGTTGCTCCTGCAACAGCTGCAGCAGCAGCAGCTGCAGCAGCAGCAGTTGCAGCAGCAGCAGCTGCACCAGCAGCAGCTGCAGCAGCAGCAACGGCAGCAGCAGTCCCCTGCACGAATGCAGGAGCTGCTGCAGCGGATTAGAGAGCAGACAGAACAGCAGCAGGCAGCTGAGCAATGGATACAAGCACTGCAGCAGAAGCAGCAGCAGCAGCAGCAAAGGCAACCGGCAGTGTCCGCAGATCAGCAGGTACTCCATCAGATAATTGGCAGACAGGCAGCGCAAATGCATGTGCTGCAGCAGCTGCAACAGCTGCAGCAGCTGCAGCAGTTGCAGCAGCTGCAGCAGCAAGCTCCGGCTGTCCTGCAGCGGTTGTTGCAGCAAGGCGGCACGCCGCAAGAGGAGCAGGAGCAGTTATTGTGCGCCATTAGCAGCAAAACGCTGCTGCTGCAGCAGCTTCATCACCAGCGGCAGCAGCTGGCTGCGCAGCTGCAGCATCAGCAGCAGCAGCAGGTTGCAGAGCAGCTATCCAGTATCGTGCAGGCTGAAAAGAAGGTGGAGCAGCAGAAGTTGTCTTTAGAACGGCAGCAGCAGCTGCTGCAGCGCACAGCAGCAGCAGCCGCTGCTCCTCCTCTCTCACCCACTAGCTACATGCGGCAGCAGTTGCTGCAGCTGCTGCACCAGCAGCAGCGAGTTGTTGCAGCGGGAGTGGGAGACAGCAGGAGCAGCAGCAGCGTCCCAGCATCTTGGGTTCCACCGCAACAGCCGCAGCAGCCGCAGCAGCAGCAGCAGCTGAGCGGAAACAGGAGCAGAGTAATCCCTGGCGCTGTTCCCTTGAGGAGACGCAAACCCCCACCACGACGTCTGCAGCAGCACCAGGTGTCGCAGCAGCAGCAGCAGCAGGAGCACGGCGAGGCACAAGACAGTGCGAACGGCTCTTCGCCTACCTGTGGGCAGCAGCAGCAACAGCAGCAGCGGGATGGGAAGGCCGACGCTGCTGCGGATGGAGGCAGCAGCAGCACCAGCAGCAGCGATGAGGAGTGCAGCCGAGCGACAGCAAAGGAGAGGCAAAAGCAGCAGCAGCAGCAGCAAGAAGCTGTTCTACAGCGTACCTGCGCCCATGCTGCTTCAGTGGTTCGTTGGCACAAGATGCGGCGGAAGCAGCAGCAGCAGCAGGAGCAGCAGCAGCAGGAGGAAGAGGAGGAGGAGGAGCAGCAAGAGCACCGTGAAAAGCGCCGTCGCGTGCAGCGGAAGAGCAGCCGCAGCAGCCGCAGCAGCAGCAGCAGCAGCAGCGAGACAGACGGCGAACGTACTGCAGCAGCAATTCAGCAGAAGCTCTATCGACGTTTGAAGCAGCTGCAATTTGAAGAGGATATCGGCTTTCAAGGGAGGGGAAGGCGAGGAGTTGTTGCAAAACAACAAATGAAACTCGCGGATAAACTCAACGCCTTTGTCGCTAATAAGTAGGCCTTCTTCGTCTCTGTTTATAAACCGTTCGTCTTCTTTTTCTGTATACGTTTATGTATGCATGTGGGCATATATGTGTATATAAGATGTTGTGAGGAGTTTTGCTGTCATAGGCGTTTGGGCCAACTTATCGATGCGTGTGCACGAGGATCAATTAATTAACTAATTAGTTGATATTTTTAGTTTAATTATTTGTACATTTTTTTGCTTTGCTGAAATGTTGAAATCACGGGAAATTTGAATTCAGTTTTTTTTAATTTAAACTTAGATCTCTTTATATTTAGACTTAAATTTTGTTGTTTTAACTGAGACTTCAATTTACTCATCGTTTATTTGAATTCAAATTCGTTTGTTTGAATCCACATTCAAATTCAAAATAATACTGAAATATAAATTCAGATTCAGTGACTGCCCATTTCAAGTTTGTTTAGCTACGGTATCATTCGAATTATATTATTTGAATTTAAATTTATATCTCAGTTTAAATTTTGATGTCAGTAAATGCACTGAAATTCATATTCACGTATTCAAATTCGTATTCCTGATGCTGCACTCAAGCACTGGCATTCATGTTCCTCTTATTTTATTGGGAGTGGTTGACTGTGTTTATAATTCCATCTTTTTGTATTATAACGATTTTATTTTATTTTTATTTTATTTGTTGGTGTTATTATTCCCTGTGGCTGCGAGTGTAGAAACTCGTTTTTTTGGTGGTTTTCACGTGCCGTGATCAGATATATTCTACACTTATAACGATTCATTTGTTGCGCCTCATCGCTTTATTATTATTGCTATTACTATTATTATTTATTATTTCTAATTATTTAATTTTTTTGGTCTGCGTTTCTAATGTTTCCTTTTAGAGTTATTTGCGTGATATGTTCGGTGGCCTCAACAATTCTTCCACAGATACTCCACTTCATTAGTACTATTATAATAATCGTTTATTATTTTTAATTATGTCAATTGTTATTCTCTGTGTTTGTTTCTTTAATGTTTGCTGATAGGGTGATACGCTTGACACTTGACATGTTCGGGTTCTTCTGGTGAATTCAACAACTTTATTGCTGTTGCTGCATTCCTATGGGTATTGATTGTAATAATTGTTATTCTGTGTGTCCCTGATGCTTGTTGTTTGTCTTAGGGTTGTATGCGTAACTTGCTCGGGCTCTTCTGGTGAATTCAACAATTCATTTACAGCTGCACGTCGTTTCGTGCGAGCGAATCATGTAGCGATGCTCGCAGATATTCGCCGTCTTCAGCGATATCGCCAAGCCATTGATTGCCTCGCAAAAAATGCAAAGTCTGCGCTAGAAATTGGATGTGGACCTCTTTGTGTCCTTTCTATTAATGCAGCGAGAGCAGGTAGAGCCTTGTTTGCTCTGTTATCTTTTGTTTTATCTCCTCTACTCTCTTTACTCTATTTAGCTGTTATCTCGGCTGCTCTCTTCTTCGTCTTAATGCATTATTATCCGTGTCACTTGGAGTAAGATACGGGCTTCTTTGTAATTCCTGTCTTTATTTTATTTCCTCTGCTGTATTCAGTCTTTTCGTTGTTTACGTCTTTTTTGCTGTCTTTTTCGTGCTATGCTTTGTGTGGAGGATGTTGGAGGAGCGATCCGAAGTGCTTTTCTCTTTGTCTGTTCTTTCTTCTTATTTATTTCGCTCAAGTATTTTCTTTTATTCCGTCTTATCTCCAAGTTTTTATTGTGACTGCACTTGCTGCACTTGCTGCTGCTGCTTCTGGTGCATTTGGTGCTGCTGCCTGTGCTGTTGTTGCAATTGCTCCTGCTGCACTTGCTAATGCTGCATTTGCTGGCGCTTCATTTTCTGGTGCTGCTACTGCTGCTATATTTGTTGCTGGTACATTTATTGTTACTGCATGTGCTGTTGCTGCACCTTTGCTGTTGCGGTTGCTTTTATGTTGTTGCTGCTGCTGCAGGTGCGCAGCACATAACGGCGCTGGAGGTGTCTCGCCAGTTTGCTGCTGAGGCTTCTTCTTACGTTCGTCTCTTTGGCTTCGATTCGCGTATCCGGGTCTTGTCGCTCTATTCTAAAGAAGCAGACCTGGTGGCGATTGCAGCAGAAGCGAGACAACGAATCAGGCAGCAGCAGCAGCAGCAGCAGCAAGAGCAGCAGGAGGAGCAGCAGGAAGAGCAACAGCAGCAACAGCAGCAGAAACAACAGCAGCAGAAGCAACAGCAGAAGCAGCAGCAGAAACATGGGAAAAATTCAACAGCGAAGTCGCGAAGGACCGCGCACAACGACTCCAACAGCAACGGCAACGACAGCAGCAGCAGCAGTAGCAACAGCAGCAACAGCTGCAGCAGCAACAGCAGCAGCAGCGACAGCGAAAAGGGGTTTGACTTGCTTATTCATGAAATCATTGGGGATATCTGCAGCAACGAGGGCGTTGCTGATGTTATCCTTGACATACAAAAAAGAACTGGTGAGCCAGACTGCTGTTGCTGCTACAGTTGCTCCTGTTGCTGTTCCTGCTGCTGGTGCCAGTGGAAAGGGCTGTTGTTTGCTGCAGCAGCACCAAACGCGTTAGTACTGCCGCACGCACAGACATTCACCGCAGCTGAAGTCGCTGCTGCTGCCGTTGCTCCTTCTACTCTTAGACAGAGTTTCTACGCCTGCTGGTGCTGTCTGACGCTGCTGCTGCTGCTGTTGTTGCAGGCCGCGTCTCTCGTTCAATTCCGTATGCGGGCCGCACCTGGTTCGCGCCCTGCGAATTTCCTCTGGAGCGACACCTCCCCTTCCCCCACAGCAAGTACACGAATTGCTGCTGTTGCTGCTGCTTCTGCCGCTGGTCGCTCGCTAGTTAGCTGTCTAGGTAGCTAGCTGGGTTGCTCGTTAGCACGCTGTCTAGCTAGACAGCTACCTCGCTAGCCAGCTCGGTTTCTGGCTAGCTAGCGGTCTATGTGTTTAGCTAGGTAGTTAGCTCGGTAGCTAGTTGTGGATGTGCGTTGTTGCTGCATTTCAGGTTTCCCATGCGCACAGTGTTGTCGCCCAACCGCGTGCTGCTGCAGTCTGTGGGGCTTCGCTTCAGCAGTTTGCTGCTGGCGGAGGACTTCGCCGTTTTAGAGGAACTTCTCTTTGAAAAACCCATGCAGAAACAAATGCTACAAAACAGAGTTGCCACCTTCGCATGCACCCGCCCAGGTCCGACGCACAGCTAGCCATACAGCCAGCTAGCCATGCAGCTATCTAGCCTTGCAGGCAGCTGGCCATGCAGCTAGCTAGCCGTACAGCCCGCTAGCCATAGAGGAGCCGAACTAGAGGGGCACCGTAGCTACCTAACCGGCCAGCTAGCTAGCTAGCTAGCTAGCTGATTATTGCCTGCGTTTTGCTTTTAGGTAAGCTGGCCGGCTTTGTGCTGTGCTGCGAAATTGAGCTGCTGAAGGGCCTCTCCATCGATCACAGAAAGGGAGAAGAAACCCACTGGTATATTCCTGCTGCTGTTGCTGCTGCTGCCGCTCTTGCTTGCTGCTGTTCTTGCTGCTGCTGCAGCTCTGCCTTGCTGCTTATGCTGCTTGTTGCTGTTACAGCTGCTGCTCTTGCTGCCGGTGTTGCTGCGGCTGTTGCTCTTTTCCTTGGGCATATATTGATGCGCTGCTGCTGAACTCTGGCGCCCCTAGTGCCAGCGGCAGCAGCAGCAACAGCAGCAACAACAGCAGCAGCAGCAGGTTGTAGGGTTTGTGTTTCAGGTACACGAATATTGCTTTGCTGCGGGAGGAGGTCTCAGTTAATGAAGGAGACACATTTGTTGTTTACAGCACCGCTGACTTGGCGAACTACGAGGTGAAGACTTGTGCTGCTTCTGCTGCTGCGGCGGTTGCTGATGCTGCTGTTGCTGCCGCGGTTGTTGCAGCTGCTGCTGCAGCGGTTGTTGCTGTTGCTGCTCCGATTGTTGCTCCTGCTGTTCCTGCTGCTGCTGTCGTCGCTATCGACGTTGCGCAATTAGCTAGCTGGCTAGCTAGCCACGTAGTTGTGTGGCTGTTTATCTGGGGGGAGTTGTGTCAGTTTGTTCTCCATTGCTACCGCTTCTTTTTGATGGGCTTGTGTGTTTGCTGCTGCTGCCTTTGCTGCTGCTGCCTTCGCTTCTGCAGGCAATCGATGTGCCCCTCTCCTCCTCTTTGCACGAAATGCCGCAGCTGCAGCCGCTAGCAGACCCCGACAAGCTGACGCCAACGTCCAAGAAGCTGCAGCAAAAGCTCCAGCAGCAGCAGCAGCAGCAGCAGGAACAGCAACAGAAGCGGCAGCAGAAACCGCAGGACGAAGAAGAAGCGTGGCGATATCCGTTTGCTGCTGAAGTGCAGCAACAGCAGCAGCAGCAGCAGCAAGAAGCGCCGCCAGGCTACCGACGCATTCATCTTTCTCGCCCCCGTTTTTCTTTATCCGCAGAAATCCATAGATTGCCAATTTCTCCTGTGAAAAGCTGCTGCTGCAACAGCAGCAGCAGCAGCACTGCAGCGACGAGTGCGACCACCAGCGAAGACAGCAGCAGCAGCAACGACAGCAGCGCTGCAGCAGAAAGTTCCCTCCCACAAGAATCTCGTGATGCTGCTGAATCAAGAAGCAGCAACAGCAGCAGCAGCGTAAAGGCTGAGGAAAGCAGCAGCAAGACGCCGCTAGACCCTTCCCCTGCAGCAGCAGAAGCAGCAGCAGGAGGGAAGGGAGGCTGCTGCTGCTGTCAAGACACCGAGAAGTCCTCAGTACTTCGCCTTGATCCCATCATTATAACATACGCCGAGCAGTCTCCCTTCCTGGCCAAGGAGGTCAGCTGACTACCGCTGCTGCTGCTGCTGCTGCTGCTGTTGCTGCTGCTGCTGCTGGCTGCTGCAGTAGCGTGCTTGCTGGCGCTCTGGTTCTACTGTTGCTGCTTCTGTTGTGTTTTTCACTGCTCCTACCTCCTTGTTCGGTGGGTTGAGGTGGACAATTTGCTGCTGCTGTTGCTGGCGCTGCTGCTGCTGCTGCTGCTGCTGCTGCAGGCGAGCCGCCAGTCCCGCTGAGAGGCTTGAGCGCCCCTCCTGTGGGGTTGCTCATTGCAGCTGTCGCAGCGATCTGCTG